CGATTTTCGGATGACTTATACAGGAGACGAGTTTCAGAAAAATGTGTGCATTTCTCGCTTACCCCTGAGCAAGACGGTAGTCGCTTGGCTAGGTGTCGTGCTTTCAAAAAGCAGTTCAAGGATGGCCTTAATATTTTTAATGTTATATTGCCGCATGCATGACCGTGAAGGAACGCTTCTGCGTACATCTAAAATATTCGTGTTTGTTCTTTTCCCGCCAGAATGACCTTGCCTACTCAATCTCGGCTTAGCTCACTCCCGAACATGCTAGGTCGAATTTTCGAGAAGCCGAGTGTAGTAGATAAGGAGCGAAGTGCTGTATTGCCAACTCATTCACTCTGGCTCCAACTAGCTGTCACGCCGTCGCACCGTCGCTCGCTGCTGCAGCCGCCGTCGACGCTCGCTCCGGCTTTCCAGACGTTTCTTCTTCTTTTTTTTTCTCGCAGATGTTAGCCGATTAAAACTTTATTTTTAGTTTAAAATTCACCCTCTCGTCGCCTTCATCCGTGGCATTTCTGGTGGAGGGGCGAGGTAATATTTTATATCCCTTGCTCGCACGGCCACGAGGATTTGCCGAACTAGATAAATTTTAAGCCCCGGAAAAATTTTTTTTTTCTGAAGTCAGGCAATGCCCCAGCTAGCCGCCACACTCAATGCCAGCCGTCGGAATCGAACCATTGTAGAAAGAAACAAAGGAGATGTCGCCGAACGCGGAGATGTTTCCCCGAAGCCGACCGGCCGAGACTCCTGCTTCCGCATCCCCGTTGTGTCCCTGCCCGTCGCACCTTCTACTCCGACGCCTTCCACGGCAACGATTACGAGGACATTGATGACTGGACGGAGAGTACGAGCGAGTTGCCCGTCATCATGGGTGGACGACGATGAAATGTCTTTAGAACGTGTACGTCTCGGTCGAGGGACAGCACGTACCTGGTTTGAAAACCACGAGGCGAAGACCTGCTCCCATGAAGCACGCAAGGACGAGCTCCGCCAGTGTTTGCGGCCTTGCAGCAATGAGAACGTGCTGAGGAGCTGCTTCATGCAAGGATCCAAGGCCCAAACGAGAGCGTCGTCAGCTTCGTCGAGCAGACTTTTTGGCTTAGTAGTCGAGCGGCTTTCTAAGCTCCTGAAGTGAAGAAACTATGGATCCTCATGCGGGGTTCAAGGGAAACATCGTTTGGGGTCTTGTGCGCAGTGTATCTGCGACCGTCGAACAATTCGTGACGATGGCTACGAACATCGAACGTACCCTCCAGGCACGAGCCTCGTACTGCCAGTGACTACCCGGCGTCGCTGTATACGCGTCATCAAGCTGCTACGTGGGTTTCAGTTGATCGGACCTGCTCGAAATCATCCGGGACGTCGTCCAAGAGGAGCTACGAAAGCTGCTGCCCGCAGCTGTGCGCCCGGCCTCGCTTTCAGTCGGCGAGATCATACGCGACGAGGTCCAGCGAGTCATACACTTGGAAGCACTCGCCAACGTGGCCGCCCCCGAGCAGACGACGTTCACCTATGCCGCCATGACCCGACGACCGCGACCAGTTGCCCACCAGTATCCGGAGCCTTCTCGAGGCAACACGCCTGTACTCCAGTACGCCGGACGCCAGGAGGAGTGACCCCTGTACATTCGCCAATAACAGTTGGCGTCAAGGGAGACGGACATCTGGAGAACGGAGGACGGACGCTTGCTGTACCACCGCTGCCGCGAAGCCGACCACATTTACGTCCGATGCCCCTACCAGCAACTTAGATTGCGCGGGTTTCCAACCGTATGACATGCGCCCGTGGTACTGTGAACGCCTTCGAGACATCCACGAGTATCTTCGACATCCAGCGTCTCCTGCGCCCGGTTTGCCCCAAGGAGGTCGCCCGCCTTCAATGCGACACCCTGCATCGCCTCTTCGTAGGTCCCGCCGGGAATGCCCGTTTCCCTTGACTGGCCGGGAAAACAAAGTGCGGTAATACCGGGAAGTGGCATTGCCGAGGACGAACCACGCAAATATCCTTCAGAGACGTCGGAGGACTACCACACTAGTGACGAGACGCATGGGAGCGACGCTTCTGCGATCGCGTCAAATAAACTGGACATTACCATCGACGGCCACGACTCGACGGCACTCATCCACACCGGAGCAGACTATTCCGTTTTGAAGATGAAGCTCTCTCGCCGACTTCCAAAATCGATAACGCCGTCCGATGGCCCTGCAAGGTTACTTGCCGTCTTATGGAATGGAAGTACGAGGTTCTCCCCGACCGAACCCCTCCATCAAGATGCCGCCAGCCGGTACCGAAGTAGTGCCCGTCGTTCATCTTAAGCCGTACTGTGCTCACTAGGACGTTCAGACGACCCCCACGGTTTACTGTTTGCTGCTATTGGTTAATTTGAGTAAGGTTGCATCGGAGCGATGAACTTTTCACGCGGCGTGTAATGCCGCGTTCATGACCGAAAAGGAACGCTTCTGCGTACATCTAATAGATACCGTTCATTCTTTCCCCGAGTGTAATATATAAGAAGGCCAGAATGAGCTTGCCCAGTCAGTCTCTCCGTAGCTCACTCCCGAACATTCTAGGCGGGATCTTCGAGAAGCCGAGTGAAGTAAATAAGGAACCAAGGGCGGTATTGCCAAATTATTCACTCTCGCACAAGCCAGCTGTCTTGTCGACGCACCGCCGCTCCATGCTACTTTCTCGACGTTTGTTCTTCCTTTTGTTCCTTGCACAAGATCGCCGATTAAACTTATTTTCAGTTCATTATTCATCATCTTGTGTCATTCATTAGTAACAATATTTGGAGAAGACCCCTGGGCAATGTGTACGACCAAAAAAATCAGCAACCAATTCAAAGAAGAGCTGCTACTTCTCTACGTGAGGGAGAATACGAAAATAGTCATCTGTTTATTTGAAGTAAGAGGGATTGTGCACTTTTATATTTTTCCTGCGCGCCAAACGGTCAACAAAGGTTCTTTTTTGGGAGTAGTAAAATGGCACAACGAGATTTGCGGAAGAAACAACCCGAGTTTCGGCAAACAGGAAGATTGTTCCACCTTCGTGACAACGCGCCTGCACACATCTCGCTGAATGTTCCGGAGTGTTGGACCAGAAACGGCGTGACCCCGTACACCACCCTTCCTATTATACTCCGTGTCACTGCTTGTGTGCAGTAGAGGCGAAGGCAAAGACCAGGCGAAGAGAGAAAGGGCGACCACTAGGAAGACGGGACAGGAGAGTAGGGCAGTGGAGGGCGAGGTAAGAAAGGGAGAGCATTAGGACTGAGAGAGAGGAGGGAATATCTCTCTCCTCTTCTTCGGCCTGTCGAGTACTTTTCCTTTCTCCGCTCGCCTATTATTGCCTTTGCCTGTACTACACGCAAGTAGTGGCACCGAGTTTACCCAACTTCGACTCGTCTGACTTTTAAACACTTTTTTGTTCAGCCTGCTTTACATAAAGTCGTATAACGCTTGTCTGTAAAAGCCAGCTGTATACTTCGTTCATCCCTGAACTAACAATGCCGCGGAAACTACGCGTTCGCTGGACCAATCAAACGCCTCTCTTTCGCCGTCTCCTCTCGCTCTCTGTGCGTGAATATAGGCAGGAGTGCGATCACGTGGCAAGAGATGAAGACATGACTACTCCAACCAGCAACTAGCTTTCACCGCACTGTGAGCCTAGGGGTGAACGGAGTATAGTGGCCGGCTGTGTCTGAAAACCGAAAAGCGTTACCTCCTGAGAGAACCATGTTAAGCAGTCCCCCTGCAGGATTTGAACTCACTATCTTTAGACCGCGAACCAAGTACTTTGCCCTTTGAGTTATCCGGGGTCGGTGGTGGTAGCACCGAAAAGCGAACTCCTTCGCGCGGCGGGTGAAGGTGCGGTATTTCCTGTCATGCTGCGCAACCTCACGGGGTGCGTCACAAATGAGAGGGCATCTTTGGTAGGCGGTGCAATTCAGGCGCCTCCTCTTCTTTCTTGAAGGCTTATTACACATTCTATGATCAGGAGTTTTTCTCGGCATGAGCAAGCGTATTTCGTTTTACCGAATGCGAAAGGTTCTTTGATGAAAAAGGTTTATCAATGTTGAATAAATTCAGCAAAACTCCGCAGAAGCACTAGAAGGCATCAACATCGTGAAGTTTAAAGGTTGTTTTGAGCATTAGAATAAAACGTATTGCAACAGGCAGAGAGTACTTTGAAGGTGACTAAAGTTTAAACGTGTAACAGCAAACACACGATTTTCTAACAAAACAAAAATATCCAGGATTCTGGGTTCGCTTTTGTATATATCCATATAAAATACACGAATAATTTATGCACTGCCATCTCTAATTAGTGGAACGCACCTGTACGTGTGGATGCATAACTTCCAACATATTATAAATGTCTTAACTTTCGCGAATCGGTCGAAAGCTAAATAGTTTGAATTATTCGCATGTTCAAAATTTTGCGAATCGAAGGTTAGAACACGCAGTGTGCGTGAATTATGCTGCCCATGAAATGAGGCGCAATGCAGTATTTTATTTTAAATACTTTATATACTTATATTATTAAAATCACATATGCAGTGATCGTATGAGGACCTTGGCATACGCGTTTATCCGTTTTTAGGTTGTTGACCAAGAAGAAACAGCATCTCAGTTTAGCTACAGTGTCAACACTTTGCTCGAATCGCTCGCGAAACCGATTTTTAGTCAAGTATAGGCGATTGCCGAAAGTCGCCAAAAATCAGGTCATGGTGAAACTTGCGCTTACAGTTGTAATAGGAAGGCAAAATGCACTTTATTTAAGGTAAATATGAAGTTGTTAGATAGAAGAAAGAACAATATAGGTAGATAATTTCACCTAATATTTTTTTTTCAAACTTGATTTTAGCTATTTTGTTTTTGGATGATGAAGTAAGTTGTTGCGAAGTTTTACAGAAAAAATCTGAACGAAAACAATTACGAGTGCATTTATGATATTGTGTTTCTTAAATAATAGTTTTTCTGCGCTTCTCATCTTTTCAGATATGTCTAGAAGATTTGAAGAAAGAATTCGATACGTGGAAGAAGGATTGGCTGCGTAATAAGAAGGAAGCTACGAAAGCTTTGTGCAATCGTACCGACAGTGACACCAGTGACTCTTAATGTATTTTTCAGAATGACAAAAACAAAATAAAGCCTATTTTGTTTATCATAGCCTGCCATTTGTGGAGGGCGTTTTGTTAGTTTTGCTACAATGCTCCTAATTTATTTTACCGCGCGGGTCAAAGGGATCGATATCCGTTTGAAGGGACGGGATCAAGCGGGTTCTCAACGTGTCGTGCATGGATTTACTACGAAGCTGCCGAAAGTTGGTGGAAGTTTTCGCTAATATTGCTAAGGATTCGAAAATCTGAGGAAATGAAAACAAAGTCAAAAACTGTTTTTAATATACTTTGCATGTACACTCAAACTAATACTATATGTGGTAGTGTGGCGCATATTTCGTACAATAGAAGTGAAAATAGTTAAGCAATTCTATTTTCTTTTCATTGTACAAATATTTTAATTGTAGTAAATGCCAGAATAGTCCTCAACGATTTTCTTATAATTTTGAGATGAAAGGCTTACTATCAATTTTTTTATACAGGAAGCCAGTTTTCATTTTCTTTTATTTGACTGCGGAGGTTTTATGAATTGATATTCAATTATTGAATACACCAGCTTGCCGCGCCTCTGTTGTCAATCCAAGCACGATAAGTTAAGTAACAGAGGTATAGTGACGATTCAAAACGCCATCGATTCATTTTACTCAGGGGGTACATAAATAAACTGTTATCTGGTAGGTAATTTCACAAGTATCTTTATACGAAAATCACCCATGAATTTTTATTTAGACGCAAGAAGTACCGAAACATTGTTTAAATATTAAAAAAAGTGTGTATTACATGAAATTGATTCATTATTGTCTCAAAAAAGGTTCCTGCGCAGACACGACTAAAAGGGGAAACTGCCGGAAAGTCGCTGCAAGGAACCCTGTGACTAAACGCGAATTATGCTGGACAATATCAACAGGGCAGAGTCATCTAGTCAAGTAATTCATAGCGGATTACATACATGGTCGCTCTTATAGCCCCTTCCCCTGGCGAATAAAGAGCGCTCGGCGCGTGCTCGCGTAGTGGATCCTTGAGGGACATTCTCTGTGTCCCGCTTGTCGATCTGGAGCCGGTGGAGCGCTCGCGAACGGGATGACATAGGACCCGCCCGGTCCATTCCCAAATACACTCATCCACTTGAAAATCATGAAGCCCCATCGCAGGGGAGGACTGCAACGCTCCGGTGACTGTTGACGTAAGGAAACGGTGCTCCGTGAACCAGCCTTTAGACGTTCATGTTTGTATATGTGTATATCGAGCGTATGACCGATGCACACCGTGTCCGCAAAAACGATTTACAGTTGTTTCACCACACGAATATGCTACGCACTACCGAACCCTCATTATTCTCCCTCCCAAATCTTACGCTAGCGATCCAAACCAGGTGCCAAATATTCAGATCTTACCTTTATCCAATACAAATGTTATAAGTGCTTGACATTTTGAAAGGGAACAAACGGTTGCCACATTCGTGCGTTTTTTTAAATTTTTTTTTTCAATTTATCTTTATACATTCGGAAGAGCCGTCAGCCGGCCGCCATTTTCCCATTGAAAATTTTGTATGATCACTTATAAATTTTGAATGAGACAGCGGTTAGTTGTGAAAGGTTTGCCGTTTGGTTCGGACAATTAAGAATATGAACAGAGAATAAAAAGAAAAACGCTGTAAATTTGTTTGGCGAGACACCAAGCACATATAAATGCTTTGTTTTTTAGGTAAATGGCCAGCTAGAACGATAGGGACAGAACACAGACAGGGAGAAACAGAGACACACACCGCTGACTATCAACTAAGACTTTATATTTCTTCTTCATCACTTCGACCCAAAGATTCACACCTAAAGTAATGCCAATGAATCATCTTAAATCATTAAATTACATCGCTAAATTAAAATACTAAATAAAATAATTAATTACATTAAATTACATCGCTAAATTAAAATACTAAATAAAATACTTAATTACATTAAATTACAAAATTTGGTCACTAACACCTCCCTGATCAAACCGACATACCACCGCCGACACATATCCCTCTTATTCCTTTTCACGGGGCCGTGCCACACTGCAAAAACTGTTTTTTTTTTTTCTTGCTGACCGTGATGAAGGGCATGCTTACGCAGTGATCGGCGGTTTGCTCAATGGCCAGGGCCTCGAGAATCTCGCGCGCTAAGACATTTCTGTGTCAGTTAAGAATGGAGACTCTGCTAAAACTGGGCCTGCACCCACTGGTGCGGCAATGGGCTGCAAGGTGCCCAGCTCCCGTGCCATGCACCGACGCCTCGTGCTCCCTGACTCTGTCATTTACGCAGCGTCCTGTCTGCCCAGTGTAGCACCTCCCACATGACATTGAAATCTTGTACACTACACCAGTCTGGCAGATGGCGTACTTAGTCCTGTGCGCGATGTTCCAGGTTCACTGGCGGTTCTTGGCCCGATTAACTCTGCGGCATATAGAGTTCCCTCTGTTCGGTGCCGAGCACACCACCATGACATTTTGTCGTGCAGCGATCTTTTTGAGCCGGTGGGTGACACCGTGAATGTAGGGGACTACTGCGAAGTTCTCTCGTGAAATCTGTCTATCTCGCTCGGTACTTAGTGATCCTCTTGAGAATTTTCTGCATATTGTCTCACATACGGCTCCAAGGAGCACACCTGGGTACCCAGAGTCACGAAGCCGGGCCATCTGCTACTGAAACCTGGCGTCAGCTTGATGGTTGCATGACTTGCGCAGCGGTGATACGAGTGCCGTGTTGGCAACACTTCGTTTTACGGTTTTCGAATGGCAGGATGCAAATGGAAGAAAACCTTTACTTGAGCGAGGTTCGTACCTCCAGCACACATGTCCATCCCTAAACTAATGTGCGAGGTCCAGGAACTTATTACACTTGCCCGCGGGTAGTTCATAAGTGAAGAGCCGGTCGGGGCAACATTCGTGGAAGGTTTTCATGACCCTGCCCTGCATCCGTTTTCTTCACTTGCGACGTCTGTGCTACACAGGATCAGGAAGTCGTCCACGTACCTGAAAATGGCTTTGACTCTAGCATCGTTCAGTGTTAATTGAATTTGCCCACCACACGCCGCCAAGAACAGATCGCATAGATGTGGCGCCACCCTAGAACCAATGCAGATCCCACTTTTTTGGACGTAGTCTAGACCTTCATACTAGATCACGGTCGCCGTTAAATATACCCCGAGCAGTTCCAAGAAGGCGTCTATGCTAATCCCTGCTGCGGTTTGAAAAGGCATTACGCCGTATTCCTCGATGGTCTCTCGTAGAATTGGCATGAGGCTGGTGTGGGGAATAGTGCATGTCCTGGATGTCGATGGAAAGTCCAGATACTACCTGGGATCCATGTTCCTGAAGATAGGCAATAAGCTCTTCTGAGTTAGAAATTCTGTACGGGTCATCGCAATGCACCTGGGACAGGTGCTTTGCAAGATAGGTTGACACATGAGCTTGCCAGGGTTTCCTCTCGGAGACAATGGCACGAAACGGTACCTCTACCTTATGTGTTTTGGCCGAGAAGAAAACGCCAAGGTGTCCGCTTTTCGTAGCTTTCACTTTGGTGCCCAGGCTGGTTAGATTGTGATCTTTAAGCAGCCGCTTAGTGGCAAGCCTCGCTTTTTGGCTTTGTTTCCCATCAACCTCGATGAAGTTTTTTTCTACGGCAGCATGGGCCTTCTCTCCGTAGGTCCCAGCATCAAGGAGTGCAAAACCTCCTTCCTTATCTGAGACGCAAAGCCGGAGATCTTTACTTCGTAGTTTTTGCTCCGTGCTGCCAAAGCCCAAGCCTGGGGCGCTATGTTGCGCTTTTTGCACTCCCAGGAGACTTGGAAGAGGGAAGTGACGTCAACGACACAGCAAAGGCAGATTGGATGTTGACAGAAGAAAACGAAATCAACACCCAATCTGCGTTTGCTGTGTCGTTGACGTCACTTCCCTCTCCCTAGTCTCCTGGGAGTGCAAAAAGCGCAACATAGCCCCCCTGGACGTGACGGGCACATTTGGCTTGCGAAGCACTCAATGCTTTCGTGATAATTTGTGATTTCTGCTCTTCGTGAGCTCGGGACGCAATGGTGAAAACAAGCGAAACCTTGTCTACCGCCTCTAGCTGTGGTGGTGCAGCATACTTCGGTCCTTGTTCGAGAGTGGATGTTGTCCTTTCTGAGAGATGGTCATCACCAAGTGTCCGGAGTGGCCACCTTTGGCGTGTTCTTCTTTCCGCAGTGCGAGATGTTGCTTCAGGGCAGGAAGAAACCAGGATTTTTACAGGCTTTCTGTGGAATACCTCGCCATCGCCAGTTGGTTTCTGAAGACGCTGTGAGTAGGGCACTTAGCACGCAGGAAGTCAGTGAGAAGGCGTTGTTGGCGCCACATTTCTGACCGGAGTATCTTTGTCACCCGCATGGCGTTTCCTTGCGACTGTGCAACAGCTCCGAAAAACTGCCGAACATCGTCGAGAATTATCTTCTTATTGACGCTGCGTGAAAGCATCCTCGCCCGGCAGGTTGTGGTGGCGATCAAAAGGCCCAGAGTCCCCGGGCCATTCGAAAACCGTAAAACGAAGTCTTGCCAACACGACACTCGTATCAGCGCTGCGCAAGTCATGCAACCATCAAGCTGACGCCAGCTTTCAGAAGCAGATGGCCCGGCTTCGTGAATCTGGGTACCCAGGTGTGCTCCTTGGAGCCGTATGTGAGACAATATGAGAAAATTCTCAAAAGGATCACCAAGTACCGAGCGAGATAGACAGACTTCACGAGAGAACTTTGCAGTGTCCCCTACATCCACGGTGTCGCCCACCGGCTCAAAAAGATCGCTGCACGACAAAATGTCAGGGTGGTGTGCTCGGCATCCGAACAGAGGGAACTCTATATGCCGCAGAGTTAATCGCGCCAAGAACCGCCAGCGAACCTCCAACATCGCGCACAGGACTAACTACGCCATCTGCCAGACTGGTGTAGTGTACAAGATTCGAATGTCATGTGGGAGCTGCTACATTGGGC